TATGAAGGGATTTTAGCGTGTGTTAGTCCGTAATAAATTTATTCCCTATGTTTTCCTAAACAGGGCTCTTTTGATTTGTTTATGAATCGTTCTCACTAGCCTAAAATACATCAACATAAGGAGGGAGTTGGGGGTGTGACACTGGGTAACGTAGAAAATACAAAGTGTGAAGCATTGTGCATGTTTGCTTCTATAAGATTTACGTTTGTACCATCCCATAAACGTGGAACAACTAAATAGGCTTGGTGCATATAGCCCATGTTTTAGAATTTTCACATGTAACTATGTAAGTAAGAGTGTACAAGTTTGATTAAAGATTGCTAAAAAATGAAAAGCAACAAACATGCTAAATGTGATTGAATTTTAGCATCATTATTTTGACTTAATTTAGGGTATAATCTGAAGACTTTATTCAATGCAATCATTGGATTGAAAGTAGACTCTATTTAAAATTAAAATTCACAACTTAGTCAGTAACTGTATTAAATTAAATCTCTGATTAGGTTCATAAAGAATTCTTTTTTAAAATTCAAATTTTCTTCATTCATCTTTTATCCCCTCACAATAGCAACTCACACATCGTCATTCTGAGGAAGAGCCCCTCCACTTTGAGTGCTATGGGGATCTTCTTCGTTTTCTTCCAAGATTTATTGCAAATGAATTGATCTACTTTTCTTATTTTTAGCCTACTCAACTGTGGCAAGAAGTGAAGTCCCTATAACATTGCTCTTTTCAAAATAGAACCTACACGGGTAAGACTATTCTCACGCCTTTAATCTTCAAGTTCACCCCATTAAATCTAATGTTGTCCTCCAAAATAATCTACTTCTCCCACTGCATTTCTCTACCCAGATGTGAATCTTTTAATTTCTTAATTTCTCTCATTTTTGCTCAATAAACCCAAAAATCAACTTGAACCTACACTAAAATTTTAATTAATTAGTTTTTTGAATGGAGATAAATAAAGACTATTAACGATGATAATGGTGATATAATATATAAATATATGTATAAACATATCAATATAAATGTGATTCGAGATAGTGATTCATCAACAAAAAACATTAATAATGATGGCGAAGGGAAAGAAGATCTGTGATAGAAGTTAGGAGTAGAAAGAGGGGTCACAGAGTGCTTTCCTTTATGTTGTTATCTAACAGTATAAAGAATGTAATGGTGGAAATTGTGTCTATAATCTGACTCGGTGCAACACTTTTAAGGACTCTTATTTCATATCAGTGGTGAAGAAACACAAAGACTCAGGTGTGCGTGTGTGTGTGTGAGAGAGAGAGAGAGAGAGAGAGACGTTGATTTGATATGGAGGACAAACTGGAGTGGGGTGGGCTAAGAAGGTAGTGGTGTATCGAAGTAATGGAATATTTTTAATGGGGGTGTAAGTAGAAAAGGGGTGGGAATGGATATTTTAGGGATGGGAATAGCTCCACTCAACCGGCACACATACCATTTGGAAAATGTTATTTGGGTTTAATATAAAGACCTAATTTGGGAACATAATTTAATATAATCATTGGATTGAAAATGAGCTCCACTTAAAATTAAATCTCACAACTACTTCAATGATTGCATTGAATTAGGTGATTCCCTTCAAACGGTGGGGCCTCGAACACCTGGTTTCACTCGGAGATAGTGCAATTATGTATCCAAAATAGATCCCTATAGTATTGTTTTTTTTTGAAATATAACCCGCACACATACTATATGATTTGGATGAATAAGAGCATCTCTTATTTTGACACAAATTCTTACTCAAATTTAAGGGAAAATTTTGATTTGTTACAAAGAGCTCCAATTGACAAATTCTAATTTAAAGGAAAAACTCAAATTTAAAATAAGATAAAATACGACAATTTAATTTTTAAAAGAGAATAAAATCTGACCATTGATGATTTGAGTAAAAATTTGGATCTCCCTTGATTTGGTATAAATTTGGATATAAGACTCGACAATATTTTTAAGAGATTTTTACTAAAATTTAAATTTGAGTTTAAAACAAAAAAGAAGATAAGAGTTAGAGATGCTAACCAACTAGGGTCGCTTAGTTGCCTAGAGCCTTTGGCTTCCCAGTGAGAGGTCAGGGGTTCGAAGTCCCCTGGGCGCAATAGCGTAATTGCTTGATACGACAAGATTTCAATTGTTTGGACAAATCGTATCCAAGTCTCTAGTGTGGGTCTTGAGTGTCTGGTGAAACAGAAGTTGTGATTTAACTGGTGTGTATGAGTTGAGTAGCTAGTTCATTCACNTATAAACATATCAATATAAATGTGATTCGAGATAGTGATTCATCAACAAAAAACATTAATAATGATGGCGAAGGGAAAGAAGATCTGTGATAGAAGTTAGGAGTAGAAAGAGGGGTCACAGAGTGCTTTCCTTTATGTTGTTATCTAACAGTATAAAGAATGTAATGGTGGAAATTGTGTCTATAATCTGACTCGGTGCAACACTTTTAAGGACTCTTATTTCATATCAGTGGTGAAGAAACACAAAGACTCAGGTGTGCGTGTGTGTGTGTGAGAGAGAGAGAGAGAGAGAGAGACGTTGATTTGATATGGAGGACAAACTGGAGTGGGGTGGGCTAAGAAGGTAGTGGTGTATCGAAGTAATGGAATATTTTTAATGGGGGTGTAAGTAGAAAAGGGGTGGGAATGGATATTTTAGGGATGGGAATAGCTCCACTCAACCGGCACACATACCATTTGGAAAATGTTATTTGGGTTTAATATAAAGACCTAATTTGGGAACATAATTTAATATAATCATTGGATTGAAAATGAGCTCCACTTAAAATTAAATCTCACAACTACTTCAATGATTGCATTGAATTAGGTGATTCCCTTCAAACGGTGGGGCCTCGAACACCTGGTTTCACTCGGAGATAGTGCAATTATGTATCCAAAATAGATCCCTATAGTATTGTTTTTTTTTGAAATATAACCCGCACACATACTATATGATTTGGATGAATAAGAGCATCTCTTATTTTGACACAAATTCTTACTCAAATTTAAGGGAAAATTTTGATTTGTTACAAAGAGCTCCAATTGACAAATTCTAATTTAAAGGAAAAACTCAAATTTAAAATAAGATAAAATACGACAATTTAATTTTTAAAAGAGAATAAAATCTGACCATTGATGATTTGAGTAAAAATTTGGATCTCCCTTGATTTGGTATAAATTTGGATATAAGACTCGACAATATTTTTAAGAGATTTTTACTAAAATTTAAATTTGAGTTTAAAACAAAAAAGAAGATAAGAGTTAGAGATGCTAACCAACTAGGGTCGCTTAGTTGCCTAGAGCCTTTGGCTTCCCAGTGAGAGGTCAGGGGTTCGAAGTCCCCTGGGCGCAATAGCGTAATTGCTTGATACGACAAGATTTCAATTGTTTGGACAAATCGTATCCAAGTCTCTAGTGTGGGTCTTGAGTGTCTGGTGAAACAGAAGTTGTGATTTAACTGGTGTGTATGAGTTGAGTAGCTAGTTCATTCACTCGGATTTGTCTTTGGTTCTATTTAGAGTTATGAACTTGAGCAATATAAGTATACCTCTACTCATCGAGGACAGGTCATGAGATTTTCCGTGACCAAAAAAAAAAGAGTTAGAGATGCTAGTAGTTATTGTTGAATGCCAACCTCTTACCAAATATCTGTAAAAACTATTTTCTAATAATCCATCGGCATCAGGCGGACCCAAGATTACTCGACACCCAAGGCAAAAATTTTAGAGGGACCTTAAATGATTATTTATTTTTGTTGTTAAATTTTAAATATTTAAATTCATATCTTTTAATAGGTATAATTAAGGTGAAAAATAACTTACAAAATAAACACGTTATATAAATGATTATATTAAGATCAAAATTAACTTAAAGATTATAATACAAGAAAATAAAACTGAACAATAGACTAGAGTTATTGGGAATTCAGATATAATGGGAGACTTGAGTTATATAAATTTTTTTGTAGAAGAGTATAGTGTGATTTTTTTTAATGTACTAATTTATAATTTAAATAAAAATATTTTTAATTGTTTGACATAGCATAATTTTTTTTATATTGTTAAATTTAATTATATAATTTTGTGACAAATACAGGAATGACCGTAGGTGCGTGGGGCTTAGGTGTTGGTTTATGGCCTTTCATTGTTAGTTTGGCATTTGTCAAGCTATTCTTAGCTTGGGGTGTTTGTTTGTATTAGAATTTACATAAGGGTTAATTAAAAAATATCTCATTTAATTTTAGATAGTTTGTCATTCACCTCTTTAGGTTTTAATTTCAATAAATAGCTCCCTTTAAGTTTAAATATTTTAAAATTAACTCCAACAGTTAATTTTAGATCATAAAAAATGATGTAAGTTTCAGTTAAAAAATTCATGGGATTTCTACTTTGTTAAAAAGATACAAATATCTCTGAAAAGAGTGTGAATATGTGTGTTGGTGTGTTAGTGTTGGGTGTAGTTGAAGGTGAAGGTGAAGACGTACATCGGGTTGTGCAGTTTGTTGGAATTGAGTTGAAAAGATGTATTTTTTTTTTGGCTTTTTCGTTTTTTAATTTTTTTTTAGGGTAATAATTAGTATCTCAAGAAAAAAATGGAGAGTAATATATAAAATGGAGGGTGTAATGGTACTTTCATATTCCAACCAGTTGCTAGTCATTTTAGTCTGCTTGAAACTTTGAGAGGATAAATTGTTGCATTTAAAACCATAGAAAACTGATTGCAACAAGAGGCATAGTTGGAGGGGGCAAATTATAATCAAGTCTTCAAATAAATTCTTGTTGAGAAGTTGAACGAACAGGTACTTCTCGACACTTGGCCAACTACATTTCATCAAACTCCAAGAATCGTTTAACACTTTTCCCCTATAAATACCCATCAATCAGGAATTGCTCTCATCCAATTCAACACAGTGAGGTAAGCTCCAAATCCTCAATAGCACCTAAAAACTTCTGCTACATCCAAACAAACAATGGCTGCTTTTCACCATTGTTTTGCTCTTTCTCTGATCATTGCTTTATCACTTTCAAGCATCAATATTAGCCTGGCGGCTAGGCAGCTACTCCAAACTTCTGGTTCACCACAAGCATCGACACTTCCAGCCATTCCGCCGCTGCCTAACACGTTGCCGCCGCTGCCGGCAATGCCAAGCCTTCCCAAACCCACATTGCCACCTTTGCCAAGCATACAAATCCCATCTCTACCAAATCCAACTCTGCCAACCATGCCCACTGTTCCAAAAATGACACTGCCTCCACTTCCTAACCTCCCAATCACAATTCCTTCAATCCCAACTATTCCAACTACGTTTCCATCAATTCCTTTCCTCTCACCACCCCCATCGAATTAGCCTGTGAGATGCCTTTGTTCCTTTTATTAATTGTTCTATTGAATCTGTTATTTCACCCAGTGTTATAGCTTATTACTACTAGAAGTGGGTGTTGATTGTGTTGGGAGTCTTGGTTATCATGGAACTTTCCCTGGTTCTATGTCTTGGTTATCATGCCTTTTCATATATGTTTGATGGTGGTGTTGATTGTTCCTATGAATACTATTTCTTATCTATTAATAGTTTTGTGGTCATAATGGACGTCGATTTATATGTGTCAATATTGAATTTTTGAGGAAAAGGATGCCAAAGCATCAGTGATGAACACGATCATAGTAGTTGCAATTTAAAAATTAGTTTTGTAGTTCAAGCATTAACACCCTTTTTGAGGAAAATTAGTTTCCCATTTTCTTTTTCTCTCCCATGGAGCAGATAAAAGGAGAAAAGAGCTTTATACGGATGTATATGGCTCACATCAACCTATGTCAACATGTTAAAAATGGTTCTATTGTCGATAAAAATCAAATGATCAAACCTTATTTAGAAAACTGAAGAAAGTTTGCCCTATCTTTTTTTAGTCTCAAATTTCTCCGAAAATGAACAATGTAATAAGACATGATTGAAAGCATTCCTCAAGCTCATCACTTTTCAGAATTTCAATTCATATTGATACGGACGAAACTCAAGGTCAGGGCTTTGATGGCCTAGAAGCTTGACCAGTCCAAGAGGCCCGGAGTAGAGAAGGAGAACTTAGCATCGACGAAAGGTCTATAATCGAACAATCCAGGCCCAGTCCAAACCATAAAGCAGTTTGGAGATTGAAAGTCTGGCCCAAGCTATTTCTGGATCACCAGAGGGGATCGTGCATCCTAAGGATCCAGGGGACCACTCTTGACACCTACGGCAATCTCAGAGAAGGTCGAGCACCAGGCCACTAGAGATCGTGGCGACGGTAGCACCGGATGAACAGGGGCGCTGGATGAACAGTGATCGTGGTTGTAGAAGAAGCAGAAGGGGGACAGAGGAAAGGACAGTTGAAGGCCCTAGGAGGGACCAATATAAATAGATAACGATAACCCAGGCAAGAACAAGACTCTATCTTCCCCAAAAAGATCAGAGAACATTCAAGAGCCTAAGAGTGTAGAAAGTTGAGAGAGAATACCTAGATACTCATTCTTTGTAAATGGACTCTGAGTCTCGAGTTACAGGAGGCACTTCTCCGGCCGATGAATATACAAACCTAGCGAGCAAGAGACTCCGTTGATAGTGGATGTAGCCTTAGTCCTTCGGCTAAGGTGAACCACTTATATTTTTAGTCTAACTGATCATAAAAGATTAATCCATAATTTGCAAAATCACTTCAGAACACCATCCCATCATAGTTGGGCTTGGGCCATAAATTCTGAGAACTATCGGTTGGCGCCATCTGTGGGAATGGTTTTCATCGTTTCCTTACCTGATTCTTCTATTTGATGGTTTCAACTCGGAACATGAGTAAAGCTCCAGCCAATCCCCAGGTCCAGCAAAACCAGCCAGAAAACTTCCAAGTCCCAGAAAGGGATGCCAAAGACCATCCTCCAACAGCAAGCCGCCCACCGCTCAATGAACTAAAGACCTATCATCGAACTACGATACAGCTGATGAAGTAGAATAAGGAGCTGACGGAATGGATACAGAAACATGAGCTCCCTCGATTCCCATCAACTCAACAAGAACCTCTTCCACCCCAAGCCGAGCACGACACCCTTCTTTAGGAGTGTCAAGCTCCCCTGAATGGAATAACTGAACTCCATGAACATAGCCATTCTAAAGATAACCACCGAAGAGGTCNCTCAAATTTCTCCGAAAATGAACAATGTAATAAGACATGATTGAAAGCATTCCTCAAGCTCATCACTTTTCAGAATTTCAATTCATATTGATACGGACGAAACTCAAGGTCAGGGCTTTGATGGCCTAGAAGCTTGACCAGTCCAAGAGGCCCGGAGTAGAGAAGGAGAACTTAGCATCGACGAAAGGTCTATAATCGAACAATCCAGGCCCAGTCCAAACCATAAAGCAGTTTGGAGATTGAAAGTCTGGCCCAAGCTATTTCTGGATCACCAGAGGGGATCGTGCATCCTAAGGATCCAGGGGACCACTCTTGACACCTACGGCAATCTCAGAGAAGGTCGAGCACCAGGCCACTAGAGATCGTGGCGACGGTAGCACCGGATGAACAGGGGCGCTGGATGAACAGTGATCGTGGTTGTAGAAGAAGCAGAAGGGGGACAGAGGAAAGGACAGTTGAAGGCCCTAGGAGGGACCAATATAAATAGATAACGATAACCCAGGCAAGAACAAGACTCTATCTTCCCCAAAAAGATCAGAGAACATTCAAGAGCCTAAGAGTGTAGAAAGTTGAGAGAGAATACCTAGATACTCATTCTTTGTAAATGGACTCTGAGTCTCGAGTTACAGGAGGCACTTCTCCGGCCGATGAATATACAAACCTAGCGAGCAAGAGACTCCGTTGATAGTGGATGTAGCCTTAGTCCTTCGGCTAAGGTGAACCACTTATATTTTTAGTCTAACTGATCATAAAAGATTAATCCATAATTTGCAAAATCACTTCAGAACACCATCCCATCATAGTTGGGCTTGGGCCATAAATTCTGAGAACTATCGGTTGGCGCCATCTGTGGGAATGGTTTTCATCGTTTCCTTACCTGATTCTTCTATTTGATGGTTTCAACTCGGAACATGAGTAAAGCTCCAGCCAATCCCCAGGTCCAGCAAAACCAGCCAGAAAACTTCCAAGTCCCAGAAAGGGATGCCAAAGACCATCCTCCAACAGCAAGCCGCCCACCGCTCAATGAACTAAAGACCTATCATCGAACTACGATACAGCTGATGAAGTAGAATAAGGAGCTGACGGAATGGATACAGAAACATGAGCTCCCTCGATTCCCATCAACTCAACAAGAACCTCTTCCACCCCAAGCCGAGCACGACACCCTTCTTTAGGAGTGTCAAGCTCCCCTGAATGGAATAACTGAACTCCATGAACATAGCCATTCTAAAGATAACCACCGAAGAGGTCGCCCGGACAAGGGAGACAAAGACGAGGCCCACAACAGGGCAAGGGTCATTCATCGGGAAGATAGAGCCCATCCCTTTTAGGATGCCATGGATCCTTTGTTGGAACAAAAACTCCGCGAGCTCCAACGAAAAATGGGCCACATGAAAGAGGCGATCAAGGGAAGGGCCCCTCGACACAATGGACACCCTGGTCCAGCAAACTGACTCGCCGTTTGCTCTTGAGGTCCTCCATTTTTTCCTTCCCCAAAGTTCTGAATGACGTCGATAGAAGCATTCGACGAAACCAAGGACCCCGTCGATCACCTAAACTCCTACAAAAACCAGATAGAGCTTTAGGGTTATCTAGATCCGATCTGCTGTCAGGCTTTCACCATCACCCTCAACGGATCGGCGATAGCCTGATTCAATAGACTGCAACCCGCATTAATCTCCTACTTCAAGAAATTATCCATATAGTTTGTATCCCACTTTATAGGGGCAAGAATGTACATAAAACCATCCTACCATTTATTAAGTGTCAATCAGGGACCTACTGAGTCCCTCCGGAGCTACGTTCAAAGCTTCAATCAGGAGTGTCTGAAAGTGGAAAGCGTGGATGACAAGTTTGTGTTGACCACCTTCATGTCTGGGCTCGGGATTCAACCAAGGATTTTCTCTTTTCGATAGCCAAGAACCCCTAGGCAACCATGGCCGAAGCATTGGTGAAAGCCAAGAAATAAATCAATGGAGAAGAGACCCTTCGCCTGAAAGGGGGCTCGACACCGGTAGAAGGTGACAAAAAAGGAGGGACCGTAGTCCCAAAAAAAAAGGAAGTATGAGCAATCCCCGGAAGGGACTGGTCCCCAAGGAGGGGGAGAGAATCACCCCCAAAGAGGAGAGGCAACGTCTGAGATCGCCTGGGACCACCTCCGCCAGAGCTACAGCCCCGATTTGCCCCAGCACAGCTACCTCCATTGGTCACGACCATTGCACAGGTCCTCCACGAGGTTTAGAACGAAAAGTTCATATGGTGGCCTCCAATAATGAAATCGAACCCAAGAAGGAGAGACGCCTGCAAATACTGTGAATACCACAAGGACACAGGCCATGAAACAAATGATTGTATCCAATTTAAGAAGGAGATCGAGTTCTTGATCCAGAGGGGACACCTATGCCAGTACGTGGCAGATGAAGGAAGACCACAGAACGACTAGAGATGGGGGGCTAGAGTAGCCACCGAGCCCCCCAAACAACACCAACAAGCGCTCGATGAAATCCGCGTAATCTCTAGTGGGTTTGCCAGAGGAGGCGAATTTAGTTCAACACGAAGAGCACATACTCAGAAGGCGTGTTCAAAAGATCACCTTGAAGTCCACGCCATACGAAAGATGCCTCACCGAGAAATGGAGATCACCTTCTCGGATGCGGACCTCAGAGAATGCCAGCAGCCACATGACGACCCCTTGGTCATAAAGGAGATTATCGCCAACAAAACTGTACACCGGGTGCTCATTGACAGCGGAAGCTCTGCGGATATCATTTTCTTATTGGCTTTCGACCAACTAGGCATAGAAAGGTCGAACCTCGAACCCATGAAATCCCACCTACTAGGTTTCTCGGGTGAAAAGGTCCTGCCAATTAGATCCATCCAACTCATCCTCACCGTTAGGGAACAACCCTGCCAGGCTAAGACCACTATTCAGTTCTTGGTAATAGACGTTTCATCTGCCTACAACATTCTATTGGGAAGGCTATCTCTCAACTCCATCAAAGTGATACCTTTGACATATTATTTGGTGATGAAGTTCCCCATGGAGAATGGGGTCGGCATGGTCAGGGGGAACCAATGCCTAACCAGAGAATGCTATGTTGCGTCGATGAAACAAAGGGAGGTGGAATCAGTCCATCTCGAGTACCTATACATGAGAGAAGAATTGACACCAGGCCTACCCCTATGGAGCAGTTGGAGCCCGTGTAGTTGGACGAAGACCCGGGGCACGTGGTCTTCATAGGTTCAATGTTGCTCACGTCCATCAAGGAGAAGCTCATCTAGTTCCTAAAGGAAAATGCTCATGCTTTCGCCTGGAAACAAGAAGACATGGAGGGGATAGACCCCACAGTGATCGTGCATCGGTTGAGTG